ATTTCCTTTCTTGACTTCCCGAAATTGAAATGTTCATTGTGGCCATAAATTTCTTCCTTCTGAAAAAATATTCAGATTAAACTCGGCTAGCAAAATGAAAAGTATTTTTTTGGATTACAGAAATTATCCTATGTCTAACGCCTTTCCTTAAGCTGCCCCCCTTCCCAAATCCCCATTCTATATGAGTTCAGTTTATAAGTAGGTAGCACAACTGAGATGAAAAATTCAACCATATGTACAATATTTTCCCATAACATCGAGCTAGTTTTTCTTCAACAAAACATACCGTAATCGGTCCGGAATCAATCATTTTTTTCTGGTCTTTCCACGAGCTTTCCGGAACTGGTTCTTGCAGTATCGCCTCCTCTTTCTTTATCATCCGCTTAAGCCGCTTTTCTTCTTTTTTGGCTTTCTTCGCCTCTTTTTTTAGCCGTTTCTTCTCCTTCCGCATTTGCTTCTTCAGAGCTTTATTCAGCTTCACAACACCACTCTGTAATATTATAGGAACGTTATCATTTAAGCCTGAATGTGAATGAAAATCATTTGGCCATGTATTTGCGTGAATATCGACAGCGCCCACTGTGATCTTTCGCTTTTCTTTCGTTTTATTGTCAGTTAATACAGAAATTTTGAGCAACTTATAAGTCTATGATATCTGGAAAATAAATAAGCAAAATATTAATAAGCACAGGAAAAGGAATATTTAGGAAATTATGGGAATTTTAGCAAAAATTTCTTTTTTTTTCTACAGTTAAAATGCATTTTTTCGCTTGCATTTGCAATAAAAAGGTGTTTTGAAGCAGGAAGAAGAGAAGAGAAAATAATATTAAGAAATTAGTAAAAGTAGCAAAATTATTTTGATAAAAATTATTATAATGGCAAGAAATGTTGCGATTTCAAACTATATAAGCGATAGATGGGATTTGTGCATTTTCTTTCAAAAAATTTCAAAAAAAAAAAAAATGCTGGCACGCGGAAATCAATAACAACAGCACTAATTCCCAGTAATAAAACATCGGACAACAGTAACACCATTTTGGTTACTG